TGTCAGATCATTCGCTTTTTCTTTTCCTTCTTTGAAATTGTGGGCTTTTTATTTACATAAGTCCTTTGCAGATCCGCAAAGATTCAGTTTCGTTAATGATGAAGTGGTTGTTGCGTGATACCCATATCCCCCGAAGAGCCATACTTGCACTTGCGTGCACTTTTGTCCATGAAACCATAAAGTGGCTGATGTGCCTGCTGAAGCACCTGCATGTGCTAGAATGTCCATGACGAATGGATAACAGCTCAATTTGGGTGGAGTGATGAAAGCAGTACCGTATCATATCGGAAAAGGCGATTTAGTGGAATGCAGTTCGACGCATTTTCGTTTGGGATTTGATTAACTCTTTTTTGAGCCATTATTGTTATCTAATTGTCGGTTTCAGATAGACAGTTCCCTTTTTCTCTTTGAGCCTTTTTTCTGTGCTCCTACTTAGGACGCAGGGCTCTTACGTGGGCTGTTGACGTCAGCATACTATTTTCTATGCTCTGTGGTTCAGTTATTTGACTAGGTTTCCCCAACCTTTGTCGATGTCTTTTGTGAAACTTCCTGGCGGTGTACATCATTATCTCCAATGCCAATCCCTTGCATGTTTCCATTCGTAAAAGTTTAATTGTCATTTACCGGCTGTAGCAAAGACCTGCTTACATTTGTATACAGTGAACGAATCATTCCATAGCTCTTTTGTTATACAGCTTATCTGACTTGTCCATTTGCAGCTGCAGTTGAAGCTGCAGACTCCCAGGTCCCTCTCCCACTCCACTACCTCCCCTACCAGCCGTGTAATTGGCCGGAGCACAGCGCTTTTGAATTTTGAACTCACTCGCAGTTTTACGATTAATTGCCGTAACATGATGAACAGCTTAGAATTAAAAGTGTTTCCAGCTCTGCTCGATAAAAAGATTTTAATTACTTTTAGGCTATTGCCGATAACATGCCTCCGGCATATCGACTTGAATGAAGGGCGCGCTCCAGCATGCGCCGCCCTCGCTCGCTCCACCTCATCCGTACTCTGCAGCTACGCTTGGCCAGGCTTCGTAGGACCTGTTCTTTGTTGTTTTTTCTTGCGGTAAGGGAATTTCTGGAGCTTATCCATTCTACTGGAGTAAGGGCAGCTTTTTCCGTTAAGGCTCTCTGAATGGGTGCCTCTCACTTTCCTTCCTGTCCGTTTTTCCCGTATTCCTTTTTTTGGGAAATTCTCCCCTCAACTACTGTTCGTTGATTGTTCGCCGATCAGTTTAAGCCGGTTTGTTGCGTTTTTGGTCGTTGGTCAGGCCTCCTTTATTCATTGATCCATTAGTTGGCTCAATAAACGAAAACAGTATCCTCTGTTTTTGGCATATTCCACATTTCGTGGAGATGACTCCCTCACCTTAAGTTTTTGTCCCTCCAAAGCCGTTCAGGGCTAATACGACCCCATATTCCAATGATGAGCTGCGCGGATTTTTATATTGCTTCATTTGGGGAGTTTTTTTTTGAAATTGAACATTACTGCGTAGTGTTGAGCAGACAGGACAAACTCCTGAGGTTCCGAGTCATACTGGCGTTTGGGAACATGTCCGGCTCATAGAATGACGTGCGGGACTGGCGACATGCCAAGTGAGTGCCTCTCTGGTCAGCCCTGAATGAATTAACAAATGAACAAAACGAATGAACAATTAACATTGAAGAGATATTAGGGTTGCATGCTCGGGCATAGCTTTATGGTGCACATCCATTTGGTGCTTGCGAGGCAGTGGCCAATCATTAGAAAATTCGATTCTTGTACATTCCCTACTCAGTGCTTCCCTCCTTTTCATATTTCACAGTTGTTCTCTTTCCAAGAATTTTTTAGCTATCCTCAACTCTATAAAGCCACTTCTATCTCTTGCAGTTACTCTCTAAACCTATTTGTATAACCATGCTAATTTTTGGTTTTTCAAGAGATTTTAAAAAACTATTCGGTCCATTGCTGTATGTGGAACGCTCCCTTTGTTGTTTGGAAACGCTCAGGGTAAAGCTGTAGGAATCATTCGTGCTTGGCAGCAATCTTTTTCGGTTTACTCTTGCGTAAACATTCATTCTATATCGTGTTCCATGTAGTTTAATGACTTTTCTAGAGAATTGGGGCTAGGCGGAGAAGGGTAAATGAAGGGAATTTCTTTCCTGCCCTTCTATCCTTTTTAATACGACTACATATGTCTGGTAGGGAGCTATATGAGATGGGTGAAAGCGCATCCATCCTGCAAATGTAGTGTTTTTTTACGAATTGAGCGAAAATTGATGTGAAGTTCCATTGGAGCGTAAGCATTCTGTGTTGACGTCGTTGCCAGTCTCTCAGGTTCTAAAAAAATAAGAGATAAAGCTCATGGGCTGGACGGTTCTTTTTTATATTCTCAGAACCCTTCTGTCGTGAAAAATTAGCACATTTGGCTAAGCCGTGAGTCCATTAGGAGAGGGGCTGTGCTGCTCCAGTCGGTCCTGTTGGAGTGGTCGACATCAAATGAAAAGGATGGGAGAGGCTGATTGGTTTGGGGAAATTTCTACCGAGAGGTGGTAGTACTGCCTTTGCACTGCCACAAAAGGACTTTTATTCTCTATATATAAAGTGTATAGTAAGGATAAAATCGTACAAGAAGAGTCAGTTTTTTTTCCTACCCATTTCGTTTCCGTTTTCAATTTCTCATGCCTCGAACTGCACTTGAGCGATAGACATGACATCACTGGACAACTTTCCATGGCACCAATGAGTAATAACGGCCATGTCGGAGGATGTGGGCAGATTTCCCGAGAAACAATTTTGAACGTGCAGCCAAGCCTTCCATCTCTCTCTCTCGATGGGAGCTTGTTGGCAGGCTTTTCCTAGGATGGAAACATTGTCTCTACCCTTAGCGATAGCTTTTCATTTTAGTAATACGGTGTATTGAGCAATTCATAAGAAACTTGATTCAATCCTCTACCTGTAATAATGCAAACACATTAGTTATAACATATCAAATACTGTTACAAATTACATTGTATATCTTATTCGTTATAAGAAAATTCAAAATCCACTTATACTAAGTATGTCGTTCCTTTTTCTTCATAGTATTTCAATGTCAAATCAGGCAGTTGCACTGCAGTTGTACAAAGTTCTCAGCTACGCTGGCCCTATTGGGCGTACTTTCAGCCTCGTTGCTTCCAATAAGCTGTGGAGATTTCCCATTAGTATGACCCAAAAAATGCCGAATTTTTTTGAATAAAGCAACATGGGGTTTTTTTAAGCTGCGCTGCACTTACTTCACGTTTGGCTAGGAGACTGTAGTAACGTAATAGTTGAGAATTCGTGGTAACTTGTAATATTCCGCTGGAGTTGCTATGTCGATGAATGGTATCATATTATAAGGAATATTGAGTTAGAATTATTTTTGTTATATTTTTATTTTTACCGAAAACCCTTTTTGAGGTACAGTTTGAATGGAAGGACCTACATGGCTTTCAGAATTGACTACTGCAAGTTACAAAGTGAAAACTCCCAAGAGGCCTTTTACGAAGCCATTGAAGCTAATTTTCACATCAGCATTGGTCCCCAAAACGCTTTTTCATTCTCTTCTGAAACAAATGGGTCTTGAACGACTGCATGTGCTCCGTTAGCCAGCTGAATCACAAGATGTCATTAGCCGGCATTTCATCTACTCAGATTGTTCGCCATCGTCAGATTGATGTTATGAATTTGATTGAAAAAAATGTCGTTTCCGTCGTCTTATCGGCTTTGATTGATTCGCTGTGCTCGCTCTTTTCTCGGTTACCCACCCTGACTGGTCAATACTCCTTTTTTCCGAGTAAATTGATCTTCAGGGTAGCCATTTGTGGAAGCAGAAGTGATGGCGTTGCTGTTCGATCCACATTTTTCTTTGCTCAGGGAGGATCAGAGTGTGAAGTTGTTCAATGTGATGCTCGTCATCTCACAAGCGTTCGGTAAGCACTGATTGGATAGTGATTTACCCAGAACCTAGCTTGGGATATACTCAGCTCCTTTACATCAAGTTATAAAGTTTGAGAGGGAAGATTTCAGGGGGCTTGGCTATCCTATTGGTGGCTATATGGATGGGTGGCTATGAAGATGGTTTCTCATGGACCGAAGATCCGGAACGTGAATTTCACTATCATCCAACATTCATGGTGATGGGAATGGTGAGTCATTCACTTCCGGTTGCCCGTCTTACGTTCTAGTCATCGGAAAGACTAACTTATTTTTTATTTTTTAGATTTTTCTCATTTCTAGTTTAATTAAGCAAATCGATCGATTGAGTGAATCGATTTCGGAATTATTTTGCACACCAAATTGGAGGTTGGATGGACTGAACTTTTGAATCAGGGAATGGAGAACAATATCTTTCACATCAGTCAATTCAGTTCTCGGGATGCGCCATCGCATTTTGCTTCCATTCAAAGTCGTAGTGGTGTTCCAAAGGGGGTCAGTCATATTGGGAAAAAACTACACAGTGACAAGTAAATTCCAGGTATTCTTGTATGGCGAATCGATGTTGGTATATCGAGTATTCCGCAATGAGCGTAAAAAGTTCAGTAAAACTCTGCATGTTTGTCTACACTCTATGGTTCTGGTGTTCATGATCATAGCTCTTAAAGCCGTCTGGGATTCACACGATCTTCACAAGGATGCTCTAGGTACTATTGTATTCCGTGTAGCTTGTCTATTCTCTACAGTTGTACGACTGCCTCAAATATACGAGTTCGACGTCAATTTTTGGCGAAGTGCTTTTGCCCGAGCTGGTTCATTGATGCGAGACCCTGTCTCTCTTCAAAGTATAATAGAAAGAATTCCTCAGGATGGATGAGCACCTAAATTGATTCTTCTGCGAGACCGCTCTTTAAAGAGTAATCTTCGGTATGAATGCCTACATTTGAGCTCCAAAGATTGCTTAATTGAATTGTAGTGCCCGCAACGCTTGCTGGTGTTTGAGGGAGAAGGCTACTGGGCGCATCCCTCCTCTGGCCAGTGTGGGTGTACCGAAGCAGCTTCGCTACCATGGGGAAAGGTCATTGAAGCGAAGCGAACCAATAGAGAAGTTCTATGACGCTTGTGGTAGTAGTGGTGTCCACGATCCTAATGGTCCAGAAATGGTCCGAAAGCACGGCTTTCGGCAATCCAATAGAAATAGGCGTTTAAGTGGTGGAACCGCTGAGGGTATAGGCTAAAAGTACCACTTATCATGGCGGATTTCTTAGGGGAAGAAATACTGCAAATAGTAAAACGGGGCTTGGGGGTTTGGACAAAATAAGGCTTCCAAAAAAGGGGCAAGTACTAGTATAAAAACTAAAATGTGGAGATGAAGATAACGCCTGCTGTTGTTTGCCCATATAGCTAGCTGTACGGGTTACACTTGCGAATGGGTATCGGCCGCAAATACTGGAAACTGGACGTACGCTCAAAGCGTACGCGTGTGGAATCATTTTGTTGTTTCTTCCTAGTCATGTGGGCAGCTGTGTAGGCACACTCACATCAGTCCGTTACCAATCTATGCAGCCATTTGTAATCAAAATAGCTCGATTAGTAAACCCTTTTGTAATCGTTTTTAGTGTTTTGTTTTCTGTGCTTTTTATCAGTCTTGTACCCCCTGTTTACTAGTTATCTGGGCTTACTTATTTGTCACCGTTGGCATAGCAGTATAATTTTTGTACTCAAAGGAATAGAGAGAAAGTGTTGTCAACACAGAGTGTTCCATTCAGGGGAACTTGATCCACTGCCCAACATGATCTCACTACATTCATGGATCGGACTCAGCGTTGTGATTTCGTACTGTACTCAGGTAATGATGGGAATATTTCTATTACAAGAAATTATTGCTTCGGTATTCATTAGTGAAGCAAAAATCAAGTAACTTCGAGGAAGATTCATGGTTCTGGGTTTATAGTTTCCATCGCTCGTCGCATGGACTTGAGGGCGGAGATGGTGTAGTGGCAAGTGGCACATTATTTCACACGTACGGTCAGGGGTTCGAATCCCGGATCGATACCCGCCTAGGCCAATCAAGGCTTCCATCCCTTCGGAGTCGGTTAATTGGTTCCAGACTCGTCTGGGAGGATGAAAGCACTGTCTTGTACTTCGGCTGGCCACCGCANATACGCACTCATTACGCCACTTCGATTTTGAAGTCGAGTGCGGGGGCGCATCCCTCAGACGGGATTGATTAACGCCAAAACTTTATCCTTATCCTTATTGACCGCAATTATATGTCAAGGAAATCGCGAACGAAGCTTTCTCCATGATATTCTTCACGACAAAAAAATTAGAATATTGCGGGAGCATGAAAATGAGAATGCGCAGGAATTTCGAGTATCCCATATTAGGTCACATCTTCAGCATTGATTGCAAATTTTTTTTTGGTTGTTCAAGGTGGATATGAAAGTGGTTCTATAGTTTTTTAGTTACGACCTCAAAAAAGAGGGAAGCAAGAGGCATATTCTGAGAATATCCATAAGTAAATACGTATGACGAAAACAACGATAAAAATGTAGCCCAGGGTAATGAGCATTTTGCCTCCTGCCTTTGATGTAGAGTAATATCGTGTGGGGGCAAACTTTTTGTTATAACCGCGCTTAAGTCCGGCAATCCCTTGTGTGACCAGTAAGGTGGCCAACCGATATACTTGCACTTCGAGTTCCTGGTTCTCTCTTGAACTCTTTACCTGGAAAAGAACGGATAGAAACCCCAGTCTACGCTAGTCCACATTCAAGCTCTGGCCACTTTCATGGGCAGAGACGGACTCACGTACCATTTCCATTGTCGCCAATGTCACATTTCTACGGAACAAGCAAAGCTCTGCTGGCGACTTGCGAACAATTCTGTCAATGCATGCATCATTTTATAGTATCTGATCGGTTTCGTGACGTTCTTCGCTCCCGGTCTATCTATTCCTGTTCGCCAGTTGGTAATGCCATTCCACCAGCTGTTCGGTATGATGATCTTCATTGCCGTAATGATCACAGTCGGTATGGGCATCTCAGAGCGTGCAGCATGGAACCACACGTGGGTTTATTTCCTTTTCCGGGAGCTTCCTTGCGTCTTTCCTTCCTGTACAATTTTTCTTTTCATTCCTTACTTGCTATGAAGAATGTGAAAAAATACTACATGGTGTAGAGATAGGCTTTCTCAGAGAAGAATTTTCTTCTTCGTGCGGTTTTGTCCATCACAATCTCTAAACGCAGATTTAAGATGCTGGACGAAAGAGCGTCAACTATGCGGTAAGCAGCTGGTGTCCAATTTGGTAGGTGTGTGCGTATTCTTCTACGCCCTATTCGTTCTACTTCTGGTAGCAAATCCACGATGGAAACGTCGCCCTCTACCAGAAGAAGAGAGCCTGCATCAACTCACCACTTCTTCTAGCACTGACTAATGGAGATGCTATGCACGTAGTTGGTTCGTATCAATTTGGATCATTTGGACTATAACCTTGCTGATTTCCAGTTAGATTTGCTACTTCATCAAAGCTTACCAAAAATTGCATCTGCATAGGCTATACCGTTGATATGCATGAAAATAGTCAATAGCCAAAAACTTCATAGATCAGCACGACTTAATTTTACAATGTCAACATCGACCCTGTTTTCCCGACATAAGATGTAGTCTCCCTTTCTTCGGATCTTATAACTCTCGTCCCCTAGATTAGGAATGATTTTTCCTATCTGACGATGTAGACATTGAGCAAATTAGTTCGCTCTTATCTACGGAATGTCAGGCAGATCAAGGAAGTGGCGACTAGTCGATTATTTTGATTATAACCAGCATCCATTCCGTTCCGCAGAGCAGGCGACACATACTGCGCTTTGGACTTTACTGTATATGTGCTGATTTGGCATTAACTCGATCTTCTACTTGTGTGATACCGTAATAGGATTCAGCTAATGTGAATAGATGTAATTTAGCCGCGGTGACGTTTTTCCTTCTTCATCTGATTTTCAAAGAATAGATTCCACTTTCTCTTATCCTTGCTCTGAGCATTTTGTCCATGAAAATCTATGTGAGCATTGGAATCATATACAGGATGCCAGTGCTATCTGGAAATATTAGGTTGGCAACGAAGGAACTGCGATTTATCCCAAACGCTAACTACCCGTTTCATTTGATTTTTATTAATAGACCTGGGAATTCAGTATTTCATGGTCAGTATAAGGCTAAATGGATATTTCTCATTTTTTAAAAGAAAAGGTAAACATGTTCCTCTGAGAAACATGCGTAGTGCCAGTTGCTAACCGAGTAGAATACATTGTAATTTTGGAAAATAGCAAATTTATGAGTAAGAAACTAGTATTAGTTTGCAATCATTCTGATTAGTATAACAGGGGCTCTCGGAACAGTAATTCTTGGTTGCAATATTTTACTTAACTGACTTGTACAAGGTCTCCATAAATGGGATTTGTCTTGTATCTCATATCCTTTGCACTTTGACCTAACTATCGCGACGTGATGTTGCTGATTAGACTGGATCATTTCTATTTTGTTCTCCGTGTGTAAAACCTACAATGGAAGTTTTGATAACCCACACATGGGGGTGTGGCTTCCCAAATGCGCGGTCACGCCGCGGCATACAACGTGGGAATCTGCCAATCATCATTCAATACGCTGTGCTAAAAACTTTCAAAGAAACACTCTTATATTCATCCCTTTACTGTACATTTCAAGCTTTCAAATCCTTATGTTCTTAATAATCTATCTTGATGTATAGTAATTCTGTCTTCAGAGATATCAATATAGATCTTCTATAGGAGCAACACGACCTCGTGCTCCCATGTGCAGACTCATAATCGCTATTTTATGGGCTTGAATGTATGAATTCCTTAATTATTTTCTTTTCGCTAATTCAAAATTTCTATGCATTTGCGAGTTTGATCTGTCTTACGCGTATTCGCTATTAACCATATCGCTTCTCGTTTCGAACATTGCTGTTTGTCTCTGATTCTGTCAGTCTGACGTGTTTCCCTAGACGATTCTTTTAAATGTAGTGGTCAGACCGTCTATTCTATCTACTGTCTACTGAAATTTGTCAAAGTTTGATAAATTTTCAATTTCCACATACGCTTTCACTTCCAGAGTCTCTGAATTGATTAGTTCCACATCGATTGAAAGGATTGCACAATCTCGGAATACGTAAGTAGCTAGAGCCCGTATTGCATCGTATCGACCAAACCACTCACCGCTCTTCTGTCGCAATACATTGCAAAAAAGGCGCAAAGGCAGGGTAATAGTTGGTACGTACCTGGTCATTCTCTCACCAATTTTCTGATTTAACGACTATTCCAATTGGCACATTTTCTATCCTTTTTCGTATTACGTAGCTTAGTAGTATTCGATGGCTGAAAACTTTATTTTTCGACAGCTATTATAGATTCAGAAAACATAGATACTCGGCATCATATTTGTGACCATCACTGCAAAACCCTTTTTCGGTCGACTCAAAGCACAATACTACAGAATCTCTTCATCAGGAACGTTCGAAACGCAGCGATTCATCACAATCTACAATGCTGTGATGAATTCGATTTGACCCGATTTCATGCATACGAACCAAAGAGTGCAGCATAGCCTAATGGTACAAATCACATATCAGTAAATAGCATTAAAGTATTGCTGGCTGAAGAAACGTCAATTGATTCCTCTATTCAACATGAGCAAAAAGAAATTCAAATACAAGCGAAAGCCTGTAAAATGCGCAACTATAACAAACAATGGAACAAACCTACACGTACCAAAGACGGTCAAGTTGAGCAGCGAATGAAGCGAGCTCATAGCTGAGGCAGCATGACGATCACTGAGCAGAAGGAAAACACAAACAACTAGATAGTAGCTTGGAGCTTGGGTCGTAATTCAAACAAATCATTTGCATAGGCCTGCTCGGACACCAATGGCCAATACCACTACCACAGACCATCAGGAACTCTCGTGCATGCTGACATCGGATAATCGTAGTGGTGGCTACCAGATTTCGTGACTTACAATTCAACACCGTAATGTCAACATGCAACAACGTTCACGAAGGTCTTAGCAATAGTCTAAATATCACAGTAGACGGAAAATAAAAGGGCAGAACAGAAGTCGCTATAAGATTGATATTCACGCAGAATGGCCTCTCAACGAAAGCCACAAAACCTATAAAGGAACACGAAAGATAAGATGGATCACATCTCCGTTAGGACCTCGTATTCAGTAGGGTACACTCGTAATTGCCTTCACTATACTCATAGTCCCAACTGTCATTTGGAAAGATCGGCTCGTGCTCCTCAGGAATAACTTCGGGTAGTCGCACAGATGATGGCGCAGCAGGACACTAAAGTATAAAGAGAGGACTGAAGCCACACTCATGAGCCTCAACAAGATGGTTCCAGAGATGAATTTTTCGCCAAAATAACGAAAAACGAATAGAAAAATACTTGGGTATTCAATTTCCAAACACACACTTGGGTTGTTATTCGACTAAAGAAGACCGAAAACTCACAATCACGTAGTCAACAACAGCTCCAGTGCACATGTCGACTTCATCATATACACCGGGGCGCGTAGCAGTCACTGCATGCTCCCTGGATTCATAGTGCTGCAAGGAAATGAGATTGTATTGAAAATGGTAACGGAAGGGCTTAGAAAGCAGGCCATATTCAATTACAGCCCTTTTGTACATTAATGGTACGTTAATCAAAACACTATCAAAATTGTAGCAACACACCGCACCTGTTCCATATCTTCGAATGTTTTACCGCACAGATCACAAAACTTATTAGTTGGAGTCTTTACTGTACGATTCACCTGTAAAAAGGATGGATCCACCAAGTAGAGAATCAATGAAATGATATAAGAAACAAAATAAACAAGCAAAAAGTCCAACCTTGACGGACTTGCCCGACTTAGCACTTCTTTCTCGGCCGGGTGAACTAGGGGGGTCAGAATCTTCATCCATGTAAGCCTCATTTTCTCGTTGTTTTCTTAAATAAAGCAAGTAAGTAAGTCAAGTCAAAATTGTAGCAGTCCCACATACACTCAATTTTTCGAACCTACCTCTTTTCAAGTTGTTCAGCAGTAACACGGCGAAAGACACAATTTCCAGCAGCTGGACCAAAGTACACAGTGGTCCATCGAGGCGTTGGACATTCCTGAAAAAATCGTAAGCACTGAGAAACAAAAACTTTGAAGCAGCTAAATGGAATACCTTGTATGATGGAGCGTGGTCTCTTTTACTATCCTGCCATTTGATAAATGGTCTCCTCAACCGTCGTATTTTCCTGTTCTTCTAAAAAGTGTAAATATCTGCAGAGGATGTATGACTGAAAAGACCTCAAGACCGGAAACTGGGCATTTGGCTTTGAAGAAGTCACAGAGCAAAAAAATAGTGCAAAATTTACTGATGCCTCTTCCGCTTTCGGCAGTCGCTTCTGCGGAGCATTCGATAATGACTTCGCTGCACGAATTCTCGCTTTGAATCGCGTGAATTGCTCTTGGAATGTTGTATACGACCGTACTTTAACATGACACCGGACGGCTTCTTTCAGAAGCATTGGTAAGTCACCGATTCTCTGAAATGCAGTGGAATGAGATCATACCGAATGCAAAAAATAGCCTAAAAATCACTCTCCCTCAGGTTGACGCTAAAATCTACGATAAATTTCTCCTAGTAGGACACCTCCAATATTATGTAAAGCATAATAAATTACAAATAATCGAGATGGCTCGTTTCGCTTAATCACCGGGCGAATCATCGCCGACGTTGATCACTATTTACTGGCTTCTACTTGGAAATGGGGTTTTGAAAGCGGCATGGAATATGATTTCAAATGAGTCTGTATCAACTGGAACTACTTAAAGCTCATAACTGGAACTAGGAAATCTTACCGTGTTCTTAGAATAGATCCCTTTCATCGTTTCTAACCGATTCGCAGTTGGGTGATCGGATATGACGACGAATGGCAACTTTTCCTCATTGATTGTATCTACAATTCGACCGCCTAATTTTCGTATGTCTATCCTAAGCTCTTCATATCTTTTACGACTTTCCAGATCCAAAACAACATCACGACCCTGAAAATGTAATAGTTCCAATGAAATATGAAATTAGCTGGCTGAAATAAAGTAAACTATTTGGGAAGATTTTATTTTACATCTTCAACACCCACAAAATAATAATGGTTCAATCATCCCAAGCAAAGTGTCAGCGGGAAGCCATACATGCAAGCTCACCTGTAATGGATAGGGACTGGTGATCATCTCCGACTTGAGCATCGACGATGAAGACGCGCGTGATACAGGAACGGAAGCCAACGAACGATTTGGCAACGTCCTCCGTAGCCCCGTCGGAGCAATCCGACTGCGGGCCTCCACCGCCATCTGATAATCACTACAACCAGTCAGATAAGATTCGATCAGTCCCGAATAATTGCTGGGATATGAGGAAATGAGCATGTTATGGTGATTCACCTCACTAGTAAATCTTCACTGAGATAATAATGGTTAGACAATGATGAATGGCTTTAACAATCCCATCACAAAGATTATTCTGTGTTGTGCAAAACTACATAATGCTTAAAGGTGTTCGACCACAGCAAAAATGTAAACAACAGCATTATGTGGACAAATTAGGGAGCATGAAGGTTGATGGCTCTCAAATGCTGCTCTTTGGCTACCTCCTTCTGTTTCCATGAGACCCAAGTCCTCACAATAGGTTGTGAATTAGTATGAAGGAAACCACAGTCGCAAGAATTTCCTAGTAATGAGGTGTCCTATCCCTAACGTTAAGGGCAACGGTCATTCTGAATACCCAGGAGCAGCATTTTTAGAAGCGGATAAAAGACAGAACCTTTTGAGAAGAAAATACCGGTCAGAGATCAGAAAAGTTCACTCGAGGAAAGGTCACGCGTACGTCAGATTACACCCGATTGCAGGTTGAGAGAATTTGAACAGTGGTTGTGGCCAACGTGAAATAAAATGCTTGCGGTGTATTGCGGTCTCCGCACGACATCACATTTGTGGCACGCCTAAACTTGCTCTTGTCCTTCAGATCGTGTTTCTTCCGACCTTTCGGCCAGACAAACTATAAGTATGAAGTGATACAGATTCTGAGGTAGTGCGACGTGTTTTCCGAAATGTGGCACTCATGTCTTGTCCCCTCACTCCTTTTCTTTTCCATTCTTCTTCAAACAAATGTGTTGAACTTGTCCAATTTATATATTGCTGTTGCGCTTCTAGAATAAAGTGGCATATTAAAAATGAAGATAGCCAACAGTGCGAATCGTCCAAGACATTCAGGTAGATGCATGTGAAAATGGCACTGGCGCGTGTGTGTGAACTCTACTTTTGTGTAATGGTGAATCACTCGAGCGTCTTCTGTTTCACCGTATCACTGGGAGCATTATTTTTGCTAAACGTCACAGTGCCATCTGGTTAATATTCACTTCTACGTATCTTCACATTCAAATTCATAAAGCACGGTGTAAATCGTTGAAAGTGCCAGCAAACAATGTCTCCACCCATATCTACATTCCTATCACAGGCTAGACGAGATCTTCGAGGTTCTGTCAGAATTTTTTTCTCATTATCCTTTGTAGAAACACCCAAACAGTGAAGAGCTCACTGGAACGCTTCCGTGTGACATATCAGTTTTCTCGAAATGAATTTCTTATAACCTGCCCCTGTGAGAGCATAAATCCTTGCAGCTGCAGCATTTAGACTCTGCGTTGGCACATCGCCGACGCTTTGAGCCCTATTGGTTCTGCCTCCTTTACAACGGTCACGGAGTGGGAATCGATGCGATACAATCTGGGGTTGGTCGGACTGCTGCAAATTAAGCCAACCACTGTTCGGGTGCCGAAATGCCGATAGTGCTGCAGATTGGGCTGGACATTTCTTCATTCTGTGGCTTCTATGATTCAATAATCGCTCATGAGACGTTGGAGTGACCCAGGACGGTCGAAGAGAAGAAATCACATGCATCGCATATTGAAAAAGTCTCCATCACGGATCCCGAAGTTTTCAGAACCTGAGTTCGAAAGGTAATCGGGTACTGTCAGAAAATTGAAAAACAAAAATTCTAGTACGGAAGGACTCATTACGTGTTTCTTGCAAAGCGAACATCTTTTTCTTTCTGTCCAAAAATCAGTTTTCTTTGCTTAGAGGGCCTTCGAAAGAGCGGAACTACCTTTTTTCCTCGAAACATGCATCCTCTAAATACCAAGCATGGTTTTGGGTTTCTTTCTTGCTCCTGTGGGATAAATTGCTTATGAGATTTCTATTCATCTTTCTTCCATATTTCGTTTCTTTTTTTGTGAGCGAGTGCCTTTACATGCGATACCCTTGACTGCTGCATCCAAAGATTAAGAGAAGGCGTATGAGTGCATAAAAAGTGGCCGACGAACTTTTATTGTCCTTCACGGCTTTTAGTGGTGGCTATATGATTTCCGATAATCCGGATTTTGGATCGCGATCGCGTGGACAGATGGTCTCATTGATGGTCGTTGCACATTGAGTGTAAAGGCTTGATACAAGCTAAGTGATGGATAGGGCCATCTGATTGCCGAAAATCATCGAAGAACTCCCGAATCATTTCTTGACATTCACTGGGACTTCAGAAACAGCGTTGTCTTCAGTACGCCTCATTTCGATTGAGTCATTTAAGTGGCTCACAAGATGCCAGCCATTTGCCCAACCTTAGATGAGCAACTTGTTTTAGATATTCACTTTTTTACAACTTATTGCACTTAGTTGTTGCTTTTTTTTCACGTTCCCTGATTTCTTTTTTTTCACCGTTCTAATCCAAAGGCCGTTTAGAACAGTCAAGAATCTCGTAGATTGAGTTTATTTTACAAAAATTAGGGTCAAGCATGGCGTCGCTACAGATGGACCTGTCCCCAAAATCTATCTTCAAAATGACCTTTCATGCTTTCAACCATTCATATTGAAGGTGAGCTCACAAAGAGGATCGACCGAGGCGATGGAAGGTCGCCCTAATGGACCTGTAGTACTCGGTCATAGTACGCACTCGGCCCCGACCCGCGCTCTGACCTAGAAAATTAAAAATAGGTTACTAATCAATCTGTTCCTATGTGTGAGCGAACAGCATGTAACCACAGTGATTGCTAATTTTTCTTTTTGGAAGACAAGTTATTGGTGTTTTTGGTTGGATTGATGTGTCAGCGGCAGTTTTCTTCTCAGTTGCCTAGTATTTAGAGACTGAGATGGTAGATTGTAACTATATCCTCTTAGCTTTATTCGTGTTCTCATTCGAAATTTCTGCGATTCTTTGGATACATTTCTTCTTCGATTTAATCCATCTAAATTCGTCTTCGCTTTTCCTTTCATCGAAGTAGTACTCTCTCATAAGAAGTTTATTCTCTATCTTAAGTAATCGCGCCAGAAATTTTGGGGCTACTCTGTAGAAAATAAAAGTGAGTGGTTAAAAAGTTAGTCAGAAACTTATGCAGTTTCAAAGCACATGTTCGCTTCACTCCTGGAGAAGTTTTTCTCAAAGCTGGTTCACTTTGGGCTAGGAGCGAAGCGCTTTCGAAGACCGTTCGCATTGGTTTCGTCCGGTCTATGGACGAAAATCCCACTCCGAGCCATTGTAGTGACCTGATCGCTTCGATTTCTTCAGTGTTCTCAAATTTCAAAGAGCGGTCTACGATCCGGAGCGAGAGAGGTAGATTACATCGTTTCAGTCAATAACCACCTGTAAGCCTCCGCTCCATCATAGTTCATGACGTTCCTTGTTAGAATACCATAAGCGCTTTACTTATGTCTCAATCCGGATAAACCTGTTCCAGGTAATTGCATACGTATGTACGAATGTCGTCGGCTGTCTAACAGCTGTCTGGAATGTCCACCAAACAGCCAAGCTGACAGTGTAGAGGATTTCATCTTGATAATGATGCAGCACTGTGCCATGTCATGTACTGGAAGCCATCAAATTTTATTACTACATTTTAATTCATAGTTACAGCTTTACTACAGGCCGGCCTTTTCGGTTACTAGTTCTGGTGAGTGGTTATTTCTCTCGCATTCACTACGTAAGGTACATGTGAAGAGCGGCTGGGTTGATCTCGGACTTCCGACGGCTGATCAGGGTCAACATAATAAGAAATTGGTTCCTTCGTGCAGGTGAGTTCCTTCAACCAAATAGTCGTTTAGGCAGTAAAAGGATATAACATCTGTTCTTCGCTAAGCTTTGTAGCTTTAGTCCGGGATTTCTTAAGTACTTGCTGCTAAAGAATGCTGGACTAAATGCTTAAGTAGTTACTTCTTATTGGCTAGGAATTCTTATATATCAATTGCCAGCATTTTTGCCAGCTATCGCGTTATAGCTACGAAATACTTGAAATGAAAAGTCAGCGAAAGGGCTTTCATACTGTAAATCAGGGGAGTTGTGAACATGTTTTCGGAGATGCCCTACATCACGTTCACTTTTTTTACTATAAACATTCAGAAACTAAGCTAATCCGATTCTCAAATAATAAATCATAATGATGTGCTGTTGTGAAGAACTTGACTAAATAATTGAATTATTATGTTTACATTCAATTCACGAGCAAAATGTCATTACCACAGCCAAATTGTCGATTATTTTTGTTTATATATTGCATCCTATTCACCACCATTACAACGCTGCTTTGAAAACATCTGTTCAGCAACTTTTACGACTGAACTTAGGGAGATTCGGTATCCATCATAGGATTATTCGCTGAATGTTCCTTATTGAGAGATTTGCAGCAGATTTTTGTGGATAGCGACCAGTTTTTGGTCATAAACCTTGTTCAGAGTGTCATTGGGCCCCATATGAACTGAATGCCGTTTTACTTTTATCGACGAAAAATGTATAGTCGTTGTCGGACCCTCATAAATAACGCTTATGTGGCTCCTTGGAATGCGCTATGACATCGAATGAACAAGCATTTGAACTAGTTTCATACCCTCCTTCTTGCTTGTCATACATCCGTTTCAGTTAACATGAACATGTTTCCGTAGATGGTTTTCGGAGCAAAGGAAGATTTTCTGTGCGATGGCGTTCGATTTTCCTGCCTTTTCTTTCATCATCGGTGTTCCGATTTCGGAATAAGATGATTTGTGTTGGATGCCTCATTTATAGCGTTCGAGGCGGGACGTCTGTCGGCCAATCGGTTGTCTCTGCTCTGGTCAGACAAGCCGCCGAAACGTCATTAATCCTTGGTCTCGCAGTACGATTTTTCTGTCCGGATTCGGCCATATGTGCTCATAAGCCAATTATTCATTGAACATTTATTGCTCGATGCCTTTTTGTTGTTATTTGGTCCAACAGCGGCACTTGACTTTCATTAACTGCCTAGAGGGTGTCGCAGCGATGTTTATTGACGTCCGACACG